GGCACTCGCCCACGTGAAGTCGGAGCTGCAGAAGAGACACACGTGCACAGACCTGGGTGAGCTGACAAGCTATCTTGGCTTGCGGATCACCCGGGACAGAGCACAGCGCACCATCACCTTGACTCAGTCACACATGGTGCAGCAGGTCCTTCAGCGCTTCCGCTTCACGTACTCCTCGCCTCAGCCCACTCCTCTGCCTACCGGTCACTCGCTCTCAGCTCTGCCTTCGGATGAGTCCGTAGAGCCGAGTGGCCCGTATCCAGAGCTTGTGAGCTGCCTCATGTATCTGATGACCTGCACTCGACCTGACCTTGCATACCCTCTTAGCATCCTAGCACGCTATGTCGCTCCTGGCCGTCACCGGAAGGAGCACATGGATGCCGCTAAGAGGGTGTTGCGCTACTTGTGCAGTCTGTCGGGCATGGGGCTTGTGCTTGGAGGACGGAGCGACGTCGTCCTCACTGGGCACTCAGACGCTTCTTGGGCTGACGACCAGGCTACGCAGCGGTCGTCTCAGGGTTACTCCTTCAGCCTTGGCTCTGGTCCAGTTTCTTGGCGTTCTACACGCTCGTCTTCAGTTCTCAGCTCCAGTTGTGAGGCTGAGATCTACGCCACAGCCATGGCTGCACAGGAGCTACGCTGGCTCACCTACCTTCTGACCGACCTGGGAGAGCGGCCTCGTTCTCCTCCAGTGCTGTACGTCGACAACAAGGCCGCCCTTGCCTTGTGTCAGGAGCACAGACTGGAGCACAGAACGAAGCACATCGCTCTGCGCTACTTCCTCGCTCGAGAGCTGCAGCAGCGTGGTCAGCTTCGTCTTGCGTACGTGGCCACTCGGGCCAACACTGCTGATGTGTTCACCAAGGCGCTTCAGCCTTGTGATCATCAGCGTTTCTGTACTGTTCTAGGCCTTGTGCCTACTGTCCCTCACTTGCTCACTTCTTGACTCTGCTTGTACTGTGATCTCTATATATATACCTGCATGCTTACACTTGCTAGGTTGTGATCACTGTACCTCTTGTTATATCATCAAACTGCATGTGAACTGGTCTTGTGACCGCTTGCTTGTGCTCGGAATTTGTGTGGTATCCTTGAGATCCACCCTGAGCTTGTTGTACTTTGCTTTGCTTTGACTGGTCTTGTGACCCCTTGCTCTCCCCCACTTAGCCTATGGGTGTGTGTCAAACATTATATATGTTGCAGCTGTGTAGGCTACAGTGGGTTAGCCTTTAGGGGGTACAATACTCTAGGGTTTGGTACTTGTACTCTCATTGTTCCTAGTTCAATCACTTCTCACAATTCTAACACGTTTATACCAGAGATCTTCGTCAGCGCGATGTTCGGGTGAGCGTCTGTACAGGTCGGAGTTGGAGTAAAAACCTGCGGTGTAGTTTGCGCTTCGATGGACTTCTCGTGGAGTTGGATTCAGCTGTTGCGCAGGAGTCGGTGGTGTGTTGTCGACGAAGACCGGTGCCGTTGAAGGGCCAGCGATTGGTGCCGATGTTGTCTCTGCTGCTGCCGATGTTGTCTATGCTGCTGCCGATGTTGTCTCTGCTGCTGCCGATGTTGTCTCTGCTGCTGCCGATGTTGTCTCTGCTGCTGCCGATGTTGTCTCTGCTGCTGCCGATATTGTCTCTGCTGCTGCCGATTGAATTGTTGCTAATGCTCTCATTCTTCCTGTTTCAGTTATGGTGTGTGAATACCAGAAGCCGCCCGGACTGAAGTCGGGATCAAGATCCGGGGGATGTGTCCAAGAGGTGAAGGTCACGATTCCGTCGCTGTCGGCGGTGCCTAAGTCTGGAACGAAGTCGAGGACGAAGACGTTGTTCTTCAGCACAGCTTTTCCGATGTAAAGTCCGCCTTTCCCGTGATACAGCTTGAACTCCTGGGTGGTGCTGTCTGCTTCGAGATGAATGCCTTTCGCCATCAGCTGACTGACACTCAGTAAGTTGTAGCCGAGTCCCTCCGCGATTAAGACCTTTGACATCTGTAATATCACGTTTGTTTCTCTTGACTGAAGTTGAACAACTCCTTGCCGTCGTGTGCGCAGGTTTTGATTGTTGGCAACGGTGATGACGACTTCGCGCTGGAGTTGATGTTCGCGTTGAACGAAGCGACCCGAGGAGCACATATGCTGTCCGCAGCAACTGTCCAAGAACCAAGTGTCTTTCCCGGACGGCTCACTCTGGGCGATGGCTACGTATGTCGGGTTCGGCTCCAGTGTCTCGCGGCGAGAAGTGCTTTCGTCAAGTTGTTCTTCCGGTGAGTAATGCGGTGGTGACTCAGTGATGCAGGAGTCTGACAGTCTTGCCATGCAGCTCACGATGTTTCTTGCTCCTTGCGCAGGTTGTGTTGTTGTCGAGGTTTGAGTTTGAGGAGTGGGTTGTACTTGTGTTGAGGCAACTTGGCTACTTGAAGGTCGGAGTTGTCGTTGTGGTGTCGTTGACTGTCGCAGACTTGGACAGTGTGTACGGGGATGTCCAGATGTCTTGCAGAGATGACATAATGGTGGTACGTGCTGCTGCTGCTGTTGTTTATTCTGTCGGTTGGAGTTGTTGAAGCGCCGTTGGGTGTGGAATGCGAATTCTGGTACTGATGCCTTTTTCTTGTGTCGTTCCTCGTGCAGGTCCATGTCTTGTTGTTCGGCGTGGATTTCGGCACATAGTGCTGCTTCGGAGATCTTCCCGTGAGCTCGGAGTATAGCGCGGGTGGAGCGCCAGTGAGGACCAAGACCGGAGATGACGACTGTGACGAAAGCTTCTTCAGAGATCGACCCTCCGCATCGAAGAAGTTTGTCGCGCAACTCGCGGCAGCGGCTGATATATGCCATTCCTTTTTCGCCGGGTTTCATTTCCACTGTTGTCAGCTGTGCCATTAGCCGACTCTGATTGACACTGTCTGTTGCTTGATACAGGTTCTTCAAATGGTTGTACGCGAGCTCGGCGGAATTGCCGTATCCCCGATAAGACCGAATGTTCTGCTGCTGATTTGGAGTTATGTTCCTCAGCAGGATCGTGTAAGCCATCATTGATTGATACGTGTACTGCTGCTTGTCGTATTGCGTTCCGTGTGTTGGGTATGGCAGGGACCCGTCGAAGAATCCAAGTATCTGCGCGCCTTCCATCATCAGCTCGAATTCAAATTACCAGGTATAGAAATCCTTTCTGTCGAAAGGTGTTGATGTCTGAAGTTTTAAGACGTGCGCGAACTGCGACTGAACCTGGAGTGCGTCCAATGTCTTTTCTTGTTCAGGTGAAGGTTGTTGACGCGGCACGAAGCTGATGGAGCCACGCTGGGGCTCGTACGGAGCAAAGGTGGGTTGCTGCTGGTTTCCGCGCGCATAGGATGAACCGTCAAGGCTCATGGGCGTGACGTCGTTGTTGTTGTTGCTAATGTTTGACTGCGCAGGTGCCGTTTGCTGATGCTGCTCGTAGAAGGACATGAAGGAGAACAACTTCTCCATCATGCTTGGGTCGAAGCCCGCGGCTTGATTTGCGGGAGTTTCAGTAGACCCAGCTGCTGGTCTTGTTGCCGTGCCTTCCTCTGTCTGTAGGCCAGAGGCAGGAGGTGGAGTACGAGTAGTGTCGGGAGAGCCGTTAGAGGAGCTTCTCTCCTTCTGCGTTGCCATGCCTTCTGATGTTGTAGGTGTTTTGGAAGTAGTTGAGTTTGCCCTGATAGCTCTCATACCATGTTCGGCTGAGAAAAAGCCCTTAGGATCTTTGCAGGGCTAAACTCTGGGTAGGAATGTTGTAGTTGCGGAAGCATTTTAGTGAAGAGTATTGAACCACCTTGCGCTAGTATGTGAGGGCAAGATAGATTAATTAAAACAAAGAGGTACAAGGTTTTTATAAGAGTACAAGGAATACGAAGAGATAGAGCTAATAACTGTTTTACTGTTGCTGTTGCGGTTCGATACAGTGACGACTCGGGCAACTGCTCAATAGCGAGTCAGTTGTTTGTCCTTGCTGTCGCGCTGTATTGTCAGGTCAAAGGTCGCTGACCTTTGACTTTCGCGTAACCTCCAGCAGTTGCTTTTCTTCTCAACCTCCAAAGGTTGACTCGCCGATGCTTCGTTGTGCTTCGCTTCGTTTACGACTTAGTATTTCGACACACAACAGAAGCGCTTAAAGCCCGAGGTCAGCATGGTTTTTGCAACAGTGACGCGAGGGCTTTAATCGTGTTCGCGAAAGGCATAAAAAAAACATTTCGAGAACTGAACAGGTGCGAAAGCGAAACCAGGCAGCGACGAGCTTCAGCACTCGTCACCCAACTGTGCGACACTGCACCACGAGTTTGGTGCTTGGAGGGGGTTAGAAAGCGAAGCCATGTGCGTAGATTGGTTTGAAAATGCACGCGACTCGTCGCCGTCGCCTACGTTCACTCCCCTCCGTCGCCCACGCGACCATTCTCCCGTCAATGTCTCACACTTCCCTCCATCGCCATAGCTCACTCCCTCTCATCGCCTTCGCGCACTCCCCTCCCGTCGCCTTCGCGCACTCTCTCCCGTCGCCTTCGCGCACTCCCCTCCCGTCGCCTTCGCGCACTCCCCTCCCGTCGCCTTCGCGCACTCGTCTCCCGTCGCCTTCGCGCACTTCCCTCCCGTCGCCTTCGCGCACACCCGTCCCGTCGCCTTCGCGCACTCCCCTCCCGTCGCCTTCGCGCACTTCCCTCCTGTCGCCTTCGCGCACTCCCCTCCCGTCGCCTTCGTGCACTTCCCTCCCGTCGCCTTCGCGCACACCCGTCCCGTCGCCTTCGCGCACACCCGTCCCGTCGCCTTCGCGCACTCCCCTCCCGTCGCCTTCGCGCACTCCCCTCCCGTCGCCTTCGCGCACTCCCCTCCAAAGAGGATGATCACTCCCTCCCGTCGCCCACGCTTCCTTCCTGACGCACGATCACGCTCCCTCCCCTCCTGTCGCCTTCGCGCGACGCCTCTTTCGCCCCTCCTCACTCTCTTCCGTCGCCCACGCTCACTCCCCTCCCGTCGCCCATGCTCACTCCCCTTACGGCATGTACGCGCACACCCATCCGTCACTACTAACGCTCCCTCCCTCCCGTCGCCCACGCTCCCTCCCCTCTAACGAGAATGGGGACTCCCCGCGCCTTGCAACTCCCCTTCCTCCTGCTACGCCACACCCCACACTCTCGTCTCCCCATCCCTCATCTCCCCTTCCCTCGTCTCCCCATCCCTCGTCTCCCCATCGCTCATCCATCCATCCCTCACCTCCCCTTTGAAAGCATGGAAGGGAACATGGGGGAAGCAGGGAAGGGGATGGGGGCAAGCAGGGAAGGGGACATGGGGAAGCAGGGAAGGGGATGGGGGAAGCAGGGAAGGGGATGGGGGGAAGCAGGGAAGGGGATGGGGGGAAGCAGGGAAGGGGACATGGGGAAGCAGGGAAGGGGATGGGGGAAAGCAGGGAGGGGGATGGGGGGAAGCAGGGAAGGGGACATGGGGGAGCAGGGAAGGGGATGGGGGGAAGCAGGGAAGGGGATGGGGGAAAGCAGGGAAGGGGATGGGGGGAAGCAGGGAAGGGGATGGGGGCAAGCAGGGAAGGGGACATGGGGAAACAGGGAAGGGGATGGGGGGAAGCAGGGAAAGGGCCATGGGGAAGCAGGGAAGGGGAGGGGGGGAAGCAGGGAAGGGGACATGGGGAAGCAGGGAAGGGGATGGGGGGAAGCAGGGAAGGGGATGGGGGCAAGCAGGGAAGGGGACATGGGGAAGCAGGGAAGGGGATGGGGGGAAGCAGGGAAGGGGATGGGGGGAAGCAGGGAAGGGGATGGGGTGAAGCAGGGAAGGGGATGGGGGAAAGCAGGGAGGGGGGTGGGGGGAAGCAGGGAAGGGGACATGGGGAAGCAGGGAAGGGGATGGGGGGAAGCAGGGAAGGGGATGGGGTGAAGCAGGGAAGGGGATGGGGGGGAGGAGGGAAGGGGATGGGGGGAAGCAGGGAAGGGGACATGGGAAGCAGGGAAGGGGATGAGGGAAAGCAGGGAGGGGGATGGGGGGAAGCAGGGAAGGGGTGGGGCGAAGCAGGGAAGTGGATGGGTGGAAGCAGGGAAAGGTGACAAGTGTGCGCGATGGGAAGGGAGACGGGAGGGATGGCGAGGGCGACGGGGAGAGAGGAAGACGGGGATTGCGAGGGGACGAGCGAGAGGCAGGGCGTCGGGACGAAGGGAAGGCTACGGGCGGAAGGGAGAGCGGCGTGCGGAAGGGAGAGCGACGGACGGGACAGAGAGCGACGGGCGGAAGGGTTGGCAACGGGCGGAAGGGTAGACGACGGGCGGAAGGGAGGGCGACGGGCAGAAGGGTGACGCGCGGAAGGGAGGGCAACGGGCGGGTGGGAGAGCGACGGGCGGAAGGGTGGGCGACGGGCGGAAGGGTGGGCGACGCGCGGAAGGGAGGGCGACGGGCGGAAGGGAGGGCGACGGGCGGAAGGGAGGGCGACGGGCGGAAGGGAGGGCGACGGGCGGAAGGGAGGGCGACGGGAGCGACGATCGGATGGGAGGGCGACGGGAGCGACGATCGGATGGGAGGGCGACGCGTAGCAGGTAGAGCGGCGAACGGATGGGAGGGCGACGGGCGAAAGGTAGAGCGACGAGCAGGGCGACGCGCGGAAGGGAGGGTGACGAGCGGAAGGGAGGGCGGCGAATGGAAGGGAGCGACGGTTGGAAGCGTGGGCGACGAATAGAAGGGGGCGCGATCGTGGACTACGAGTAACGAGAGCCAAAGGACCTTGGTGTCGCGGGCAAGCGAGGGCGAATGGGGGAACGTAAGCGACCAGCAACCTAGCTCTAGACCAGGGAGAATATAGCAGGAGCATCGTGCGCGTGTTCGTACGTGAGTTGTGTGCTAAAACAGAGCCTTTTTTGGTGCGTGAATGACGGGTAAACTAAGTATAGTATGCTTGCATGTTAGTACCAGATGGTTTTCAAGTTCACTTCAAGTGAACAGTGCTGCGTTGCCAGCGGACACTCTGCTCGATATGACTTTTGAGTGTCGCTGGCCAATCACAGATCACTATCTAGCGAGAATGCTCAACTTCGGGTGGTAACACGGTTTTTTGCGAATTCATATTCAGGAATCTTGAACTTGAAAATAGCCATGTGGTACTCAGGCTTTAAATTACTTGTTTGCAACATTCTTGAAGCCTTACCATTCTAGACTCGGGCTTTAAGGCAATCTGACAAATTCCCCTGACTTCTGGGGGCCTGGTGTGGGTACATCTGGGTGATAACGGTATCAATCAAGTGGCTGTGCTTCCTCTTGGATAAGCTAAGCACATGCATATTATCAAGCCATAACACAGTACATGAATGGGCACATGCATATTGCGCACTATGTGGAATTAATCAGATATTCTAAGCAAGGGAGTTGAGAAATAGTGCAAGGAGGAGCAGAAAGAGTGTGCAAAGGAGTTGAGAAGGAGAAAAAGCCCCTGCAAGTAGGTGAAGGACAGGTTGAAAAGCACGTTTTGATTTATGAGTAAAAAAAGGAGGATATGGGGTGAAACACATATGGGAGGATGAGGCAACAACATCACGAGTGGGCCAGAATTGGAAATAACGAGTGGAACCTCTCTCTCTCTTTCCCCCTTCCTTCTCTCTCTCTCTCTCTCTCTCTCTCTCTCTCTCTCTCTCTCTCTCTCTCTCTCTCTCTCTCTCTCTCTCTCTCTTTCCCTCAATCTCTCTCCCTTCCTCTCTCCCCCATTCCCCCCTCCTCCTCTCCCCTCAACCCCCCCTTCCTCTCCATCCCCCTTCCATCCCCCCTGCCGCAAATGCAACGCTGCCATCCAGCACCCAGCAACCAGCACCCAGCAACCAGCAACCCCCAGCGCTGTCACAAAGCAACCAGCAACCTGCACCCAACCCCAGCGCCCCTCTTTCTCCCCCCCCCACGCACCCTTGGATCGGGGCTCTGGGACAGTGAATACGAGAGGAGGAGGTGGGGGTGGGGCTGTGATGGGCGTGAGTGTGGTGCCTGTTAGGGCATTCATGGGAAGAAAGGGCATGCATGAAAGAGAGGGCAGGCATGTTGGCCAGGGAATGTTTGAAGGCAGGAAGGCAGGCAGGCGGGCAGAAGGACGGATAGGCAGAAAGACAAACTGACACACAGCAGGAGAGGTGAGGGCGCTAGGGATTACAAAAGAGGCGAGGAGGGATAGGCGTGCGGGCATGGTGAAGGGTACGAAGGGATGAGGCATGGGTGTGTGTGGATGGAGGAGCAGGCAGATGGTGCCAGTTGATTAGACATGGTGGAGAGGGAGGAAAGACAAGCGGAGAACATGAGAGGAGAGGCGGTTCAACCAAGGTGAAAACGACCAATGGTTTTGGCCGTTTTGACTGGACGGAAGCACAACAGGCCATCCCATGCCATGCCATGCCATGCCAACATGAGTGAATGGATGCATGGACGTGGATGTATGCAGAGAGAGTTTCAGATCACACAGGGGAAAGGCGCTCCGATGCATGAGATGAACAAGTGCACTAAACAACATTGAGCATGTAAGGGTTGAGAGGGAGGGAGCGTGGGAGAGGGCGAGGGAGAGGGAGAGGGAGAGGGAGAGGGCGTGGGTGGGATAGGGATAGGGATAGGGATAGGGATAGGGATAGGGATAGGGATAGGGATAGGGATAGGGATAGGGACAGGGACAGGGACAGGGACAGGGACAGGGACAGGGATAGGGACAGGGATAGGGATAGGGATAGGGATAGGGATAGGGATAGGGATAGGGATAGGGATAGGGATAGGGATAGGGATAGGGATAGGGATACGGATACGGATAGGGATAGGGATAGGGATAGGGATAGGGATAGGGATAGGGATAGGGATAGGCGCAGCATACAGTTCATGGATTGGAAGGAGAATATGTTCCTGGTGTAGTCAAACGTGAGGAACTGGTCGCGAATCCACATGGCTGCTCGCACGATGGGTGGGGAGAGGAGTCGGGGAGAGGAAAGGGAGATGAGTTGGGGAATTGGACGAGAGGGAAAGAGGGACCTGAGGACGATGGCACGGGTGAAAGAAGAGATGCAGGTGAGACGCGAGGAGGTTTCCTGGAAGCACGGTAAGAAAGTTGTGTGGAAGCACAGTGCACTCCGGTGCTGCACTGAACCTCGCCCCACCTCTCCGATCCAGCTCGCCCCACCTCTCCGATCCAGCTCGCCCCACCTCTCCGATCCAGCTCGCCCCACCTCTCCGATCCAGCTCGCCCCACCTCTCCGATCCAGCTCGCCCCACCTCTCCGATCCAGCTCGCCCCACCTCTCCGATCCAGCTCGCCCCACCTCTCCGATCCAGCTCGCCCCACCTCTCCGATCCAGCTCGCCCCACCTCTCCGATCCAGCTCGCCCCACCTCTCCGATCCAGCTCGCCCCACCTCTCCGATCCAGCTCGCCCCACCTCTCCGATCCAGCTCGCCCCACCTCTCCGATCCAGCTCGCCCCACCTCTCCGATCCAGCTCGCCCCACCTCTCCGATCCAGCTCGCCCCACCTCTCCGATCCAGCTCGCCCCACCTCTCCGATCCAGCTCGCCCCACCTCTCCGATCCAGCTCGCCCCACCTCTCCGATCCAGCTCGCCCCACCTCTCCGATCCAGCTCGCCCCACCTCTCCGATCCAGCTCGCCCCACCTCTCCGATCCAGCTCGCCCCACCTCTCCGATCCAGCTCGCCCCACCTCTCCGATCCAGCTCGCCCCACCTCTCCGATCCAGCTCGCCCCACCTCTCCGATCCAGCTCGCCCCACCTCTCCGATCCAGCTCGCCCCACCTCTCCGATCCAGCTCGCCCCACCTCTCCGATCCAGCTCGCCCCACCTCTCCGATCCAGCTCGCCCCACCTCTCCGATCCAGCTCGCCCCACCTCTCCGATCCAGCTCGCCCCACCTCTCCGATCCAGCTCGCCCCACCTCTCCGATCCAGCTCGCCCCACCTCTCCGATCCAGCTCGCCCCACCTCTCCGATCCAGCTCGCCCCACCTCTCCGATCCAGCTCGCCCCACCTCTCCGATCCAGCTCGCCCCACCTCTCCGATCCAGCTCGCCCCACCTCTCCGATCCAGCTCGCCCCACCTCTCCGATCCAGCTCGCCCCACCTCTCCGATCCAGCTCGCCCCACCTCTCCGATCCAGCTCGCCCCACCTCTCCGATCCAGCTCGCCCCACCTCTCGATCCAGCTCGCCCCCACCTCTCCGATCCAGCTCGCCCCACCTCTCCGATCCAGCCCGCCCCACCTCTCCGATCCAGCTCGCCCCACCTCTCCGATCCAGCTCGCCCCACCTCTCCGATCCAGCTCGCCCCACCTCTCCACTCCAGTTCGCCTTGCCACATTTACATCTCCAGCTCCTCACTTCTTCACCCCTCGTGCCTGCTTCCAACCCTTCCAGCCTGCTTGACCACCTTCTCACACCAGCAAACAACCACCGCCCATGCACCAATTGCGTTCACCCTGCCGCACTCCCCCAATCGTCTCCTCAACCTTACTTCGCTCCCCTTCCCTGCCCCAACCTTTCCTTCCCTGCCTTTCCACCCGTCTTCCCACCCCAGCTCACTTTCCGAATTTGCAGACTCAGTGCCATTGCTTCTGAAAACTCTCTAGGATCTGAGTCGCTTTCGACAACTCCCGGAGAACTCTCAAGAGCACACTCACTGCCCAGGACGCGCGGACAGAGTAGTGCTGGCATCCAGAGGGCACAGCAGCGAAGCACTGCCACACTGTTGCAGGGTGTTTTTGAGAATTCTCAAAAACAGGATGCACGGACAGAGTGGCGCTGGTGCTGGCACCCAGAGGGCACAGCAGCGAAGCACTGCCATACTCCCCTCTTTCCCCCCTTCCCACCTTTCTCCCCATTCCCCCCTTCCCGCCTTTTCCTTCCTCTCCCCCCTTCCTCCCCGCAGCTGCGGCACTCGCTGCCCAGGAACGCGGATTGCGTGGGCATTGGCGTCCAGAGCCACGGCAGCGAAACATTGCCTCACTGCAATAAACCTTCCCACCCTCCCCTCACCCCCCCAGCTGCCGCACTCACTGCCAACACTCACTGCCCGCACTCACTGCCTGCACTCACTTCCCGAACTTACTTCCCAGGAATGCGGACTGAGTGGCATTGGCATCCAGAGGCACGGCAGCGAAGCACTGCGCCGTCTCATTCACCTGCACGCACACACACACGCACACGCACACGCACATGGGGGCCAGGGGCAGGTTGACCGCGTGGGGGTGGAGAGGAGGAGGATGAGGACGGTTGGGAGCATGCAGGAAAATGTGATTACATGTCCCATTCAGGGGCAAAAAGCAAAGCACTGCGCCGTCTTGTTCACCTGCACGCACACACATATGGGGGGCAGGGGGAAGGTGGGTGTCAGGAGAGCGGGGATAACGGGGGTTGGAAAGGGTTGGGGGGAGATGGGACATGCGATTGTGAGAAATGGAGCTTAGAATAGATATCTTAGTAGTGAGCTCAATGCAATATAAGTACATCAGAAATGAGCAAGGTATGGATGGGGAAGGAATCGGGGGCAATCCTAGATATTGGGGGTAATCCCAAGGCAATCTCCAATTGGTGGGTTGGAGATTGGTTAGGGATCACATTTGGGTTTGGTTGGGATGTAGGTGTACACACAACCAACACGCAAACTACACTAAGCTAGGATATAAAAGTGCAAGTACAAAAGTTGAGATTGAGGGCTTAACACCAACAGCGATTACTGTATTGGCTGTTTTGAGTTGACAGGGGGGATGAGGACGGATGGGGACTCTCTACACAAAGGGGGATGGGGACGGGAGATGGGAACTCTCTACATAACAGGGGGTTGATATGTTGTGCTTACGACGACGACGGGTTATGGTTCAAACAAGACATGGGGGCTGGGCTGGGTTGAAGAGAATCGAGCAAAGAGCACAGGACCTCACACCTTTTGCTCGTAAGACCTCTCATGGTACAGGCATATCACAACATGTAGACGTCTCACTCACTGTGCAGGAATCCAAATGTCATAACGCTATGTAGAGACACCTAAGTGTTCCACTGTAGGGGACAGGACCAAGACCAGGAGCAGGAGCAGGAGCAGGAGCAGGAGAAGGAGCAGGAGCAGGAGCAGGAGCAGGAGCAGAAGCAGGAGCAGGAGCAGGAGCAGAAGCAGGAGCAGGAGCAGGAGCAGGAGAAGGAGCAGGAGCAGGAGCAGGAGCAGGAGCAGAAGCAGGAGCAGGAGCAGGAGCAGGAGCAGGAGCAGGAGCAGGAGCAGGAGAAGAAGCAGGAGAAGGAGCAGGAGCAGAAGCAGGAGCAGGAGCAGGAGCAGGAGAAGGAGCAGGAGCAGGAGCAGGAGAAGGAGCAGGAGCAGGAGCAGGAGAAGGAGCAGGAGAAGGAGCAGGAGCAGGAGCAGGAGCAGGAGAAGGAGCAGGAGCAGGAGCAGAAGCAGGAGCAGGAGCAGGAGAAGGAGCAGGAGCAGGAGCAGGAGCAGGAGCAGGAGCAGGAGCAGGAGCAGGAGCAGGAGCAGGAGCAGGAGCAGGAGCAGAAGCAGGAGCAGGAGCAGGAGCAGAAGCAGGAGCAGGAGCAGGAGCAGGAGAAGGAGCAGGAGCAGGAGCAGGAGCAGGAGCAGAAGCAGGAGCAGGAGCAGGAGCAGGAGCAGGAGCAGGAGCAGGAGCAGGAGCAGGAGCAGGAGAAGAAGCAGGAGAAGGAGCAGGAGCAGAAGCAGGAGCAGGAGCAGGAGCAGGAGAAGGAGCAGGAGCAGGAGCAGGAGAAGGAGCAGGAGCAGGAGCAGGAGAAGGAGCAGGAGAAGGAGCAGGAGCAGGAGCAGGAGCAGGAGAAGGAGCAGGAGCAGGAGCAGAAGCAGGAGCAGGAGCAGGAGAAGGAGCAGGAGCAGGAGCAGGAGCAGGAGCAGGAGCAGGAGCAGGAGAAGGAGCAGGAGCAGGAGCAGGAGCAGGAGCAGGAGCAGGAGCAGGAGCAGGAGCAGGAGCAGGAGCAGGAGCAGGAGCAGGAGCAGGAGCAGGAGAAGGAGCAGGAGCAGGAGAAGGAGCAGGAGCAGGAGCAGGAGCAGGAGCAGGAGCAGGAGCAGGAGCAGGAGCAGGAGCAGAAGCAGGAGCAGGAGAAGGAGCAGGAGCAGGAGCAGGAGCAGGAGCAGGAGCAGGAGCAGGAGCAGGAGAAGGAGCAGGAGCAGGAGCAGGAGCAGGAGCAGGAGAAGGAGCAGGAGCAGGAGCAGAAGCAGGAGCAGGAGCAGGAGCAGAAGCAGGAGCAGGAGCAGGAGCAGGAGCAGGAGCAGGAGCAGGAGCAGGAGCAGGAGAAGGAGCAGAAGCAGGAGCAGGAGCAGGAGCAGGAGAAGGAGCAGGAGCAGAAGCAGGAGCAGGAGCAGGAGCAGGAGCAGGAGCAGGAGCAGAAGCAGAAGCAGGAGCAGGAGCAGGAGCAGGAGCAGGAGCAGGAGCAGGAGCAGAAGGCAACCCACACAAGGACGGGTGGGGCGACACAGCATCAACACAGCATTAGAGGCAACTTGGAAAACAAAACTAGACAGAAAGGGGGGAGGCGGGGAGCACGGAGAAGGAATGAGGAAGGAGAGGGAGAGTGAAGCGGGGTTGTCCGGTGGGAGGAAGGAGAGGGACAGGAGAGCGAAGATGGAGTGGGGGAGGGTGAAGGGAGAGGGGAGGGAGAGGGAGAATCCGCCCCATGGGTGGGGTGGGGGCGCTGAAAGCATACCACCATGTAGTTCTGTGGCAGCACTGTGAGGCTGCCCTCGGCAAAGTCGATGAGGATGGGCGGGAAGTAGACCTTCTTCGCCCTGTGTGTGTGCCGTGCCGTGCCGTGCCGTGCCGTGCCGTGCCGTGCCATGCCGTGCCGTGCAGTTGCATGCCGTGCCAATGTGGTATGGTGGATGGTGGGAGGTGCGTGGATGGTTGGTGGGTGGAGCACGGTTGGATTTGGGTGGGTGACGCGTGGTGGGTGTGTGGTTGGGGGTGCGTGGATGGAGGGTGGTTGGTGGGGGGTAGTGGGTGGTGGACGTATGTGGTTGTAATGGAGATGGTCGAGAGTGGAGATGGAGGAGGGGGTGCGGTTGGGGGTGGGAGAGAGTGGATTGGAAAGACAGTGTATGATGCGTAGAGGGGAGAGAGGAGGGAGATGCGGCACAGACGGGGAGAGGTGGGGACAAAGAGCAAGGGAGAAGGGAGAGGGAAAGGGTGGGAAAATTCAAAGACGACTAGGATGAAAGGCCGTGTGTGGGTGGGTGGGTGGGTGGGTGGGTGGGTGGGTGGGTGGGTGGGTGGGTGGGTGGGTGGGAGGGAGGGAGTGAATGCATGCGAGATAGGACTTGTGAACATGCGCATCCAGATGCACGTGTGACATCCACGTGAACTTCTTGTTGCAGGCGCTTTTCAGATATTTCACAAGTACTCGTGATTCAGGGGAACTAAAGGGGAAAATGGAGGGGCGAATGAAAAAGGAAACGGAGGGAAGAATGAAGGGGGAAGCGGAGGGGGGAACTTACGCTTCGTCATTGACAACGCACGCCTTGTCCTCCGAGCCAGTCCGGGTGAGAGAGGGATCTGCAAACAGCTGCTCACACACAAACATGCACACACACATGCATGCGTGCACACACAGGAGGAATGGGAGAGAAGAAGGACGACAAACAATGCACTGAAATGGGACGGATGGACGGTGGAAGAACAATGTCGCAACTCAAGCATTCAGACACGAATTCTCTTTCTCACAGATCTCCCTTGGACCCCCTATGCCACCACATGCTCCCTCTCAGTCCTTCACCCAGCTCCATTTCTCCTTGAATGACAAACTCTCTTGCTCATCCAGTTATTCGACCCCTGCCTGCCATGCATCACTGACAGACTCCCCTCACCGCACACAAGGACCCCCTCACCGCACACAAGGACCCCCTCGCCGCACACAAGGACCCCCTCACCGCACACAAGGACCCCCTCACCGCACACAAGGACCCCCTCACCGCACACAAGGACCCCCTCGCCTCAGACAAACACCAACCCACCACGTTGACTTGACAATGGCGTTGAAGATGTGTCCGCGGAAGCCTGGGTAGAGCATGGCCGTGTTTACTGTGAGAACTGCCTCAGCCTCTCCTCCACCCTGTCGGCCCCCCACCACAGCAGTTTGGAAGCACCCCCTCACCGCACAGAAACGCCCTCTCACCGCAGCACCCACCACATGCACCCACCATGGCGTTGGAGAAGTGTCCACTGTGAATCCCCCCTCAATCTCTTTCTCCTCCCCCACTAAGCAGCCCCCCGCCATACACCGCAGTCGTTTGAGAAACACCCCTGAATCGCATAGATGCACCCTCACACCGCACCGACACTGCCCCCTCCGCCCTCAACGCATGCAAACACCCCCTTTCACCGCAGCAGCACCACATGCACGCACGCACCATGTTGACCATGGTGTTAAACACAAGTCTGTGGAAGCCTGAATAGAGCACGGCCGTGTCGACTGTGAATCCCCCCTGCGTGCCGTTCACGAGCGCTGCGAGATCCGAGCTGTTGCCCACTGCACTGCTGCCCATGCGCATGCTCTGCACCGCTAGGAAGGGGCGGGAGCTGGTGGGGGGAGGCCGAGAGCGGGAAGAAAGGGAGAAAGGGTGCGGGAGGGAAGGAGGGGGAATGAAAGGGAGAGAGGGTGGAGAGATGGGGGAGAGAGACGGGAATGTGGCTTAGAATTGTGGTGGGTGTGGTGGAGAGAGGGGCTAGTGCTACTCACAGCGAGAGAGTTGAGAGAGAGGAGGGCGGGAAGAGACGGGAGCGAGGGGAGGAGTGGGAGAGTGGAGAGAGGGAAGCGAGGGGAAGAGAGGGAGGAGAGGGACGAGAAGGAAGGACAAACAACCACAGCTATACACCGTGCCAGATACCTGCAAAAAAATCCTAAGACCATCCCATCCCAGACCATCCGCAACCCCTTCCCCCTCCCCCACCCTCCCTTCCTCCTTCCGCCCACACACGTACACATTCGGCAGCAGCCTCAGGCGAGTGGTGACCATCCCCGGGGGAGCATCGGCATCGCCCATGAGCAGAGCGCCGCGCTGGTTGCCACCGTCGAAGCACAGGGAGTAGGCGCGCGCCAGGCCCAGAGACGCGTTCAGCTGCGCTAGCAGCCCGTAGGGGCGCGAGCCGAGAGCCAGCACCCCGTCAACTGATGAGCCCCCGTAGCCCACGTCCATGCGCCCACAGCTTATGGGGTGTGGGGGGGAGAGGGGTGGGGAGTGGGGGAAAGAGGGAGGGAGGAGGAGAGGGGGTGGGAGAATGGAATGGGTGTTGGGAGGTGCGTGAGAGGGACAACAACCCGTCCATTGATGAGGCCCCATAGCCCACCACGTCCATGCGCCCACAGCTGATGGGGAAGGGGCAAGTGGAGGGGAGGGGAGGGAGTGAGGGGTGGGATACGAGAGCATGAAGGAACAAGAGAGGAACAAAAACGACCTTCCAAAGGGGGGGATATGGGGTGGTGGAGCAGGAGGGAGCAGGGGGAATTTGGGGTAGTGGAGCGGGGGGAGCAGGGGGGAGCAGGGGAAGCAGGGAGACGAAAGGAGGAGAAGGGAGAAGAAGGGAGAAGAAGGGAGAAGAAGGGAGAAGAAGGGATTAGAAGGGAAAAGAAGGGAGAAGGAGGGAGAAGAAGGAAAGAGAAGGGAAAAGAACGAAGAAGAACGGAAACAAAGGGAGAAGGAGGAAGAAGCAACGGGGAGCTCTCCCGAAGTTGTTTCGCCCCGCTTGGCCGCTGGCAGCGCCAGCCTTGACGACCTTGAGCAGCATGCCGTCCTGCACGAGGTCCCCTGCCGGCGCATAGCGCAGGTCGCAGGAGGAGAGGCGGGCAGCAGCGGGCAGCAGGGGGCAGCAGGGGGCAGCACAGGGCAGCAGGGGGGAGGAGGAGTAATCCAGGACGAAAGCAGCTCACCCAAAGTTGATTCTTGCCGCTTGCTCGCTGGCAGCCCCACCCTTAACAACCTTGAGCAGCATGCCATCCTGCACGAGGTCTCCCGCAGGCGCATAGCGCAGGTCACAGGAGGAGTTGGAGCGCGAGAGGTTGCGCGGCAGCGCAGAGCAGCCTGCTGCAGGCAGCTGGAGGCACGCTGGGGACGTGCAGTTGAGCAGCGCTGCTGACGTGGAGTTGAGCGTTGTGTAGAAGGTGCGCTCCTGGGGGTGGTGAGGGGGGAGGGAGGGAGTGGATTGAGAGGGGAGGGGTGAGAGGGAAGGAGGTGAGAGGGTGAGAGGGACGGGGTGACAGGGAAGGGGATGAGAGGGAGGGGGGTGAGAGTGCGGGAGGGAGGGTAAGAAGAGGGGAGGGAGGGGGGGAGGAAGGGGAAGGGAAAACGGGAGTGTGAGACAGAATTGAGGGGAATTTCTGCCCCACCTGGTCCTGGTCGCTCTACCCTGTTCCTCCTCTCCCTCTCACACTCCCTCAAGTCGCCTCCCGGCCTGCTCCCAACTCCATCGCCTTGGCATAAAAGGCAAGCCTAGCAGGCAGGTGCGTGCAACTCGCACAGCAGACCTTGCGCGTCTGCAACGCCTTGTCTCAGTCAGCTCACCGCAGCTCGTTCTGAGACGCGTGCACACCTCTGTGCACATGCCGTCGCAAGTAAATCCTGTGTTTGAGGGGCCCCCGAGTGAGCTCACCTATCCTTAAGGCGCCTCAGAATGTGCTCGCTTGCTGTTAAAGAGGAGACTGAGAGTGAGAATGAGAGCGGACCTTGATGACTGGTGAGTCCTGGGGGCACTTGATGCAGTCGCAGTAGAGCCAGGAGAGGCTCACTGCCGTGTCCACCAGCGCCACGTACATCCTGGGGGGTGATCCTATGAACAGCGGCGAGTAGAAGCGCCTGGGGGGAGGGGAGGAAGGCGAGGGGAGGGGGATGGGGAGGGGGAGGGAGAGGGGGATGGGGAGGGGGAGGGAGAGGGGGATGGGGACGGGGAGGGGGAGGGAGGTGAAAGGAGAGGGAAAGGAAGATGAGGGGGAGGAGGGACGGGAGGGAGAGGAGGGAGAGGGCGGAGAGGAGGGAGATGATTACAGACTGAGCTATGAAAATGGAAGTAGAGTGGCGTGTGCACGGTGGGACGAATGGAAGAAATGGCAAATCTTGTTTTTCAGTGGATTGTGGGCACGGTGGTTTTGGAGGTCACTTGAGAGGCAACTCCCGGATGTGACTCCTAAACAGTGGTTGGTGGGAATGGTAAGAAACCGAACGCGTGGGACTGGCACGGACAAGATGAGTGCCTAGGGTTAGATCAGTGGAGGGATGGATAGGGCGTACGGCTAGAGGTGACTTTGAGTCGATTCAATAGGACTGGCATGGCCAAGATGAGTGCGTAGGGTAGGGTCAATCAAATGGATATCGGAGGAGGGATGGATAGGGCGTACGGCAAGAGAAACGCAGAGCTGAGAGGTAAGTTGCGACGAAGAAGAAAAATAAAAGAGAATAAATGAGAGAGCTCACCCATACTGAAACGCGCCTGCTGACAGGAGTTGGAGCACCACCATGCCTTGGTTCTTTTCCGCAAAGGATGTATCGCCCGTCGTCTGCTGAAGCACTCGGTGCTGCCAGTCACAAGCATGCATGGGTAGGAAAGCGTCGGGATAAATGACGGCAGGGTTATGGCTTCCCCCGCGTGTGTCTATGTTAGTGTGCAGTGCAGTGTGTAGTGTGCAGTGCAGTGTGCAGTGTGCAATGCAATGCAGTGCGGTGCGGTGCGGTGCATCTTGCATGAGAGACCATTAAGGCTGGACTGAAGGATGCGTTTCTTAGACTTGCCGTTGCCACGCAACTTGTCTGCAAGTTGAGAGCTCCTATCAACGGAGTCTCTGGAAAGTTGACTGCATGCCCTCACACATCTAAGGCCACACCTTATGGATCCATGGCCGCTTCGAGCGACCATGGTATGCATGGCATGGCCGGCCGTACCTGGCTAGCTACTGGAATCAATCAATGCATCAACGCTTCGAGGTACTGTGCATGCGTCGTCTGCTGACCGTAGGTCACCTGGTAACTGGAGTTTCCATTGCTGCTGCTGCTGGAATGAAAGAGAGGTGAAGACCCCATGACAGCCCCCTCTTTCTGCTGCTCGTGCTGTCGCCACTGCTGTCGCTGCTGCCGCTGCTGCTGCATGGTGGTGGCCCATTCTGGCAGGCTTGTTCGAGCAGCAGCTGCAGTGAGGAGCAAGTCGGACTCAAGAGGTCCCTGACGGGACGGAGGGGGGGAGAACATGGGCAGCATGGGAACATGCAGAATCACCACCAGAATGTTCCTGATAGACAGACAGACAGACAGACAGACAGACAGAGAGAGAGACAGACGGACAGACAGACACATACACACTGCAGCAGCAGCAGCAGCAGCAGCACAACGTGACACGAACCCCATTTCAAGGCACGGACACAGACATTCGAGTCCTACCTGTGGACTCTACCAGGGAATGAATCTCACCAGACGGTGTGTGTGCTAGAGAGCACACTCCTGATCACACCGGATGGTGCTGTGAAGTGCCCTAATGCCAGGTCAACGGTCCCTATTGCCAAATCAGGAAACTGCGCCGCTGTGGTGACACATCAAGGTCCCGGGCGGCTGCCTTGCTTGACACAACGCGAATAGCAGCTACCTGAGTGCGGCTGTGAAGGGTATCCTCCCCACACCTCACCTCCCACCCACACTCACCACCTCCCACCCACACTCACCGCCTCCCACCCACACTCACCTTCCACACTGCACCTCCCACGTCCAATCCTTCACCACTGGACAAGTTGAGGTCAAGGGGCCTACCCGAGGCATTAACGCTACATAGAGCATCATTCTCACTGATTTGGACCCGAAAAAGAGATTCTGGATTTTAGCCAACATGACCTCGCAGGGTATGCCCCGGAAAACACCCTGATTTCCCAAGACATTTTCCATTTAAAGCCAAAAATCTCAGAACAGATTCTATACTTTACCCTGATAATTCCGCTTCATGGCAGCAATCCCACAGATCGCTAGCAGGTGTATCGCTTCAGAACAACACCCGCTTCCACCTTCACGCCTCACTCACTCACCTCCTGGTGTGGGAGAAACTGTGACGAGCAGACATGGAGGAACGCGAGGAGGGCCATGAGGTGCGCTGCAGTGCGAGCAGCGGCTGCAAGCGGCTTCCAACCCGCTGAGCACCCTGGGATTGCCGAGCGAGCAGCCATGGCCGCACACGAACGATGAGAGAAACTCCACGCGGGCTATGAGAGAGTTCCCGCACGGATTGCACAGAGTAAGAGCGTAAGGAGACCGCCGCCGGTAGCGTTGAAGCGGCGCTGTGGCTAAGAAGAAACGAATCCGCTCCGTGCTATGGCCCCCTGCTCTCACCGCGGAAAATTGGGAAGTGAGAACCGAGAGAGATGGGAGAGAGGAGAGGAAGGAGCGAGGGAAAGTGAGAAGCGAGGAGAGAAAGGCCTGCTTCAACAGGTTGAGGGCGGGCAAGGTCCTGCAAATGCTGAATTTACACGTGGCGATGGAAATGTGGGTGTCGTTGATGCGGTGAGAACGGCGAGCGATATTATCAATGGCCTACATTCCAAAACCAGCTCACGATGAACAGTTCCCTTGAGCCAGTTCACACGGAATCACCAACTAGCAGTGTTGCTCTCTCAAAGCGTCTCTCTGGACTAGCCTATCGGCCGCGTCACGAGAGTTCACCTTTTGCTCGTAATGAGGCGCTGATCGCGGCGCGGTGCTTCGCGATTTAGAACGGTTTGCTCGCTTCACCGCTTGGAGTCGTTACAAAGCGGGCCCTGGACCGTCTCTAAAGAATGTCCAACGATTGTCCTAAGAATGTAACTAAGCCGTCACAACCTCCACATTCCACGGACAGGAACACTTGAAATTCCGCAAGGACGGGTTAGTGTGTTACTCGCATTGTCGGCACGGACGATCAGGATGCTCTTGGAATCAGCTAAGAGCTACACGGCAGAAACAGGTACGGAATGCGCCAAATCCAGCCTACGTCGACGAGGAACCAAGTCGTACAGGGGACTTCGAAAGGAAACGAATGTGTGGGAATGTAATTTCGAGAACAGTAATTTCGCTTGGCGAAAATCGTCCCAACAATTTGCGAGGAGAGTCGGTATCAACTGGGTCACGCCCAACCAAAGTTAGGAAGGTTGAGGCAGTTTTGGGCTGTTTGGGACTCCGGTTTTAATCCAGTCCTACTCAAAGACGCCGAGAGTGAAAGCACGCGAGTCTAGCAAAGCCAGTCAGTCACTATGATCGCATCGCACGTCGACACTTGAGCGGTGAAAGCGAAAATAGTCACTCGTTTATCCGGTGCACCATCCACCGCATCATGGAACAGAGGGTGCTGTGCTGCTATGCGATGGGCGAAGGAGTCAATCGCAAGTTCCAAACTCGGTCGGAAGGAATTGAGGAGTGAACCGTACAGCCCAGCAGGGCTGCATTTTTTCTGCGTTGCTGGAACCCTACTGCGTGCCGAGCAAGGCCCAGAATTACCGCAGTGTTTGCTCTCACAAGATGCTTCATTATACCGCTCCAGAGCGCAAAGTACCTTTTTGAAACGCAACCAAACGGAGGTTTTGGACATCCCGTTATGAACGTGGTGCGAAGCTGACACACAACGCGGCGCGTGCCTGACGTCTCCGAAGAGGGGTGCTGGTCCGGTGACCAGGCCAAGCTCCCACAACCGAACCGCGCTGGTGTCAACTGGATTCGGTGAGGCACATTGGCCCTTGTGATTGGCTCGTGAATGAGGTTCGGTTTGGAACAGAAAGCGAGCATGCCCCATCCATCTACTACTGGATGCTACGCCAGGAATTCACAGAACAGTAATTGTGCGCAACCGCATCTAGTTCACAATCCGTTCATCACAAAATAGGGATCTGTGAAAACATCGCCTGACATAGGAAACTGTTCAGCAACCATACTCATCCATCACCTGGTCACCTCTTGCAACACCATCTCAGTCACACCATACTGTTGCATTGACTGACTCCAACAACCCGTGTGCCAACGGCTTACATATCCTCTCAACGCAACCACACCATACGATGTGAGAAGACAATTCCAAATCCCAATCCATCCCAGTGGCTCTTGTCCACCCTCCCTGATTGTTCGAAGTCGCCATACAACTAGCCAAACGCATTGAAAAGAGGCGCATTACCAGCCGCACCTCCTGTGGCTCCAGGAGCGCCACCCACTCCGCCATACATGCCAGCAAATGATCCCACTCCTGCTGCTCCCACACCTGGCGCACCACCCATACCAGCAACCCCTGCCCCAGGCACAGCGGCAGCACCAGGCATGGGGAACGCAGCAAAGCCTCCCAAGCCAGCAGCACTACCCGCGACCGGAGCAGCGCCAAAACCCATGGGCATGGTAGGCACTGCCCCCACACCAGCAACACCAGGCATCGCCCCTAGACCACCCACTCCTGCCATTCCAAAAGCAGCGGCAGCTGCAGGAGCAGGCGCAGGCGTGGTGAAGGTGCTTGCACCTGCCATTCCCTTGCCTGAACCCTGGCCCATGGCCTTACCCATGGACATGCCTCCCATGTTAAAAGGGCTGGGGCTAGCAGTGGGGGCTGCAGAGGAGGAAGTTGGAGAGACGACCGACTTAGAATCGGACTTGAGTGAGGCCGAGTCAGTCATGATGCCCAAGGCTGCGAGGTTCTCATCCTTGGCTGGGGGAACGGGAGACGTGGACAGAATGGCACGAGGGGAGCAGGGAACCATGAAGAAATGGCACACAAGGCAAGAGGGCAAGCAACAGAATAAGGAAACACGGGGTAGGAAAAGACAAGGGTTGTAAAACAAAGAGTACAGAAAGCCAAATTGAGCCACAAATTAAGATACGAGTCACATACAACAGCTTGTACAAATTGAACATGCTCACAAACGTCCACCATGAGGCGAAGTTTGTGGGGCGCAAGCCCCCGCTGCCTCTTGCACTCCCTCCTCTCCTCCATTGTGATTCAAGCATGATCACAAACACAAGCACAGCCACTGGGCCAGAATGGCATCACCATCCCCATCATTGCACAAACAAAACAATAAGGTGAGCGTAACATGTGCAGCACTCACATGACGTGATGGCGAGGTCAATGAGACCAGAGCTGAGAGCATCCGCCCACATCCCAGGCGACTTGCCTCCCTGCGGTGCAGCAGAGGCAGATGGACGGGCAGCCGGAGCAGCAGCAGCAGCCGGGCTAGCACCCATGGCGAAACCGGAACCAGGAGTAGAGAAGGCAGGGGGGGCAGCAGGAGTGGCAGAGACACCAAGCATGGCGGCAAAGGGGTCGGCAGAGGCTGCAGGCGCAGGAGGAGCAGGGGCTGCTGCTGAGAAGTCACCAAAGTCATCGGCAGCAGGAGCGGAAAAGGCAGGTGCAGGCGCGGGCATGGGGGCAGAAAACGCAGCAAACGGATCCACGGCACTAGCGGGAGCAGCAGGAGCAGGTGCGGCCACTGGTGCTGGCGTGGACAAGAGGTCGACTCCAGCCTGAACCCACTCGAATTAGGACGAAAGGAGCAATTTAGAGAAACACCAAAAACGGACAAGGACGGAGCCGGTAAGAATGAAGCACGCAAGAAACTAATGAAAAAGGGGATGGGAAGTATGGGAAGGGAGGCAACAGGAGAAGGGTGAGGAGTGGAGGAGGGGCAAAGGAACGTGTTTGAACAGCAACTACCAAGAAGGGACAAAAGTGCTTGACAACAGGTGAACACTTGAATGCAGCATCAATAACAATTACGAGAAGCGAAACTCATTAACCAGAAATCGACATACCCCGAGTGGTGCTGCAGCAACAGGAGGAGCAGACTGGAAATCAGCGCCAGAGAAAAGGTCAGCTGCAGGTGCCGCAGCGGCAGCAGGAGCAGCTGGCGCGGGGGCAGAAAAGATATCGTCCAGCAGGTTGGCAGCAGGAGGTGCAGCTGCAGGCGCTGTCACAGGAGGAGGGGCGGACGGCTTTGCTGTGGGGAGGGGAGGGAGGACGAAGGTGGAAGACCAGAGAGGAACGGAGGAAGAGGCAAAGATATGGGGGGTAAGGGAAGGCACCGGGCATGCGAGGAGGAAAGGAGGGACACAAAAATCGATATTTGAGTGAAAACGAAACAAAGAAGTGTAGGCTATTAGCAAAAGGGTGCCGGGCATTGGTTCATTTGACTACTCATTCTAATCAATTTCCACTCGGTGCTCTTCATGAACTCTGTCAGATTAAAGCGTAAGCGAGTGGGTGCATGGCACCTACCAGCTGCGGGTGGTGTGCCCCGGGGATCAAAGTCATCGAAATCATCATCGGCAGCAGCAGCAGCAGGCTGAGAGGGCTTGGAGGAGCCGCTGCATCACAGGGCGTTGTTGGGTGGTGGGGACAGGGGGGTCAAGCATGTGTGAATGGACGAAGAGAGAGACATGGGTTGGAAGCGGAAGGGAGCAGGCGAGAGAGGGAAGGGGTTGGGATGTGCGGGGGGTTGTCGAACGGGGACATAGGCGGAGACTGGCCGAGAGAGGGGGAAGAGACATGGGTGCGGAATGTTCTTGAAGAAACGAGAGGGAGATGGTGCGAGTGCGCTTTGGAAGGGAAGGAAAGCCGCGCATACCGGGGTTCGAAGTCATCATCGTCCAGCGACGCAGGCTGTGTCCCCGATCCTTCAGCAGCCGCAGAGTACCCAGGGCGCCCATACTCGCGCTCCTCGTCATCCCTCGCACCACCTCGCCCCCCTCTGCCCTCGTCATACTTGGAGTCCGAGTAATCACCCCCTCCACGGCCTCCCTCATCCCCATAGCGAGAGGAGTAGCGGCTCTTGCCCCCTTCGCCCCTCTCATCCCGCCCACGCGAGTTGTAACGGTCACCCCTGTCCCGATCCTCCGAATAACCACCAGCCCGGCGCGGAGGGCCAAATTCGTCCTTGGAGCCGTAACTGTCGTAACGGCTGCCACCACCACCACCGCCCCCGCCGTAGCTGTCGTAGCCGCCTCCCCCGCTCCTGCCGGTATTGCCAAAACCGCCAGCGTTGCTGCCGAAGCCACCGGCACCGCCAGCACGGTAGGCGGCAGAGGAAATGCCACCGTACCTGGGGAAACAGAAAAAGGGGGGGAAGTGGGGTGTGTGTGTGGGGGGGGGGGAGGGGGGTGAGGGTGAGGAGAGGAAACGCGTTATGCGGACAAGCGATCGTTGAAAGGGTATGACGCAGCAGACGTTGATGTTGGAATGGACAAGGGAAGAGGCAGAGGAAAGAGAGGGCGGAATGAGAGCAAGGAGTTAGGGTTACGGCAAGGAGCAAAAAAATGTCATTTCGCATGTAGACAAAGTGAAATCACAGAAAGGAGACAGAACGCAACAGAGGAGAAGGGATGGCAAAAGCTGGGTTCTGGTCTGCCTCTCGTACCAGCCACACTTTTCCCTATAAATAACGAATCGCTGCTAAACCCCCACGTACTTGTTGCGATTAGCCGCTGCCTTCTCCCGGACTTCCCGAATCTTGTCCGTGTCCCTGAGCAGAGCGACGAGAGTCTGAGCCTTCTTGCGCACGTTGATGCCCTGGTCCTTGCCGTCCGGGTCAACGTATTGGAAATCCGTCAGTCTCTGCAGCACGTTTCGCAGCCATGGAAGGCAAGCAGCACAGGGGAGCAAGAAAATCCACAGGAAGAGAGGACAAATCAGGGAACGAATGTCGAATGGACGCATGACCTAAACGGGCATCCCCTGCCTTACATGACTTGTTCGAATGCAGAACCTTCCTCGTCTCATCTTCAACTATATCCCTGCTCCGCCCACCTCATCTCGACACTCCGTCCATCCCGCTGTCCGTACATCCCTTCCTTGCTCGCCCACTCACTCATTTTGTCCCGTCTTGGTCGAAAAGTCTATCCGTCGGTCCCTCCCTCGCTCCCACTCTCTTCCCTTCCTCTCCCCCCCGACCTACTCTCCGTTCGCTCAATCCACACGCCTCCACCTAAATCTCGACCACACAGCAAGCACAGAACGACCGCGTATGAGCAGCGCACCTGCAGCTGGTACATATGGTCTCTGAACTCGTCGATGCAACGCTCCGCGCCGTTCGCCACCAGGAACTCCATCAGCGTCAATGCCTGGTCAGACGGCACAGAAACGCATAAAGGCAGATGCAGAGAAGTCGAAGAAGATAGGTAGGAGGAAGGCGAGGAACGGCTGACTGGAGGATCAGAATGTGCTGCGGGTAAGGCCGTGTGCAGAAAGTATAGGCAACCAGTGGCCGATTGGGATACGAAAACAAGGACGCGATGCACAAGTGGCACTCACAGGAAAATTTGACGAGAACAAAACCGGATCGGAGATCTCACCTTGTACACGTGTCTCCAGTTGGCTCCAGAGTCCTGAACTCGTTTCCACAAAATCGCCATAATCATTCGGAAGTCCGGGCTGGGAGATAACGAGACAAACGCAAAATAAAAACCTGATATGGATTATCAGAGCAAAAAAAACTATCAGCACCTGTAAACAATCAGTTGAACGGCACGAAACAGCTTAACAGGCAGACTCTGAGCAGCTGACATTGCCTTGTATGCAGCAACATGAATTAGCAAATTTACAAAAATAGAAATTTGCATATTTGTACACGACGGAGATCATTCAACGGCATCAGCACAGACGAAGGATGATCCAAAACGAAGAGAATAAGATATCTCACTAGTTGCGGGTGGAGCTGGCAATCTCGTTCATGGCCTGGCCGTGAGGACCCCATGGCTCGTTGCTGGTCGCATCCAACGTCTGTACATTATAATATTAAGGGGGTGATATTGGAAGGTACTTGGTGAAAGGGCTTGCTGCGTCACGTTTCTCTACACCGATAAAAATCTGGCGAAAGTAGGATTGTAACGTACCGAGATGTATCTGTTTGTATGTACTAGAAACATACCGATTAAAGAGCTTTGGTTCACGAGACGGAAATTAGCAAAAACGCGACATACCTTCTGTTCGATCTCAGGAACCTTCAGAATGCTGCGATTCACCTCTCTCGTGCTGCAAATAGCATTCGAAAGAGCAGCGTGAGGACCATGCAATTTATTAGTCACGCAACCCAAAAACGAGACAGTTTCGTGACGAATTGCTTGCGAATGTCTTCACGTGTCAAAGCTGATGGTGAAGACATTGTGGCATGGACGACAAGTAAAATAGAGAAAATTCGCCGCAAGTGTGAAACTTTGATTACTTATAGGACAAATGCTCAATGTGACGTACATGTCCCTGACCGTCTGGTCAAAGACTTTGTAGAGATCCGTCATCGACATGCTGGCCGACGTGATCCACCAAGGACAGACAGATGTACAATCTAATTAGCGGTATCCTCAAGACCGATCCGCAACGATGATTTGTATCAAAAACTAGTTCTAGGAGTTCGGTCACAAGGACGTGCAGCGGCTGCCTGCGTGTGCTTGGAAGACGGAGCAGCACACACAGCACACGTTGCTTCTGCGTCGACCTACAAAAACACTTGATTCAGTGGTGTGGTTGGTGGTGTGTGGTTGGTGAAATCTAGTTGGGTGGGATTGTAGAATGGTTCAGAACAGGGAAGGAGCGAGCAGGGAGTGGCAGACAGAGCAACCTTCTAGGCAGACTTGCAGGCTAGGGGTGGAGTCGAGGGGAGGAGGGGAGGAGGGGAGGAGAGGGAAGTGGGAGCAGAAGCAGATTCCCTCGAGCATCCCATTCCATCCCATTTCCATCCATCCCATGATTCCTTCCCATCGCAGGTGTTTGTCGAATATCTGGCGGGAAGATGGATGCCAGAGAGTGATTCAAAAGGGCGTTATTACCTGAAATAAGACAGTTTTGTCGCAATAACGAAGTCTGTACAGCAGTGCGGTTGGTGGCGGTGGCCCCGAGGAGGGTGGTTTGTTGCACGAAGGGGGAGGAGGGTTCCAGCGGAGCAACTACACTGCGATGTTCGCCACAAGGCGGAATAGCCCGCATTTGTGCAGGCGACATTCGAAGGGTGGGCGAAACAAACGGCACTGAAAACCGCCATGGACAAATTCGTTGCTCAGATCGTAACCAATGAAATTCGGCAACGAAGGATCGTGCGACACTGATACTAGCAACATAATCAGAGCACCTTAGGGCGTGTGTCCTTGCTGGTCAGAGTTAGAAAAACAGTTCGGCCATTAGCTGGTAACCTGTTTCGCAAGTCTCGCATTAGGTCGCGACGTTCGTCAACATTATGCCAAATCGATGAAACACCCAAGGACACTAAACAGAGATCGAACTTACAGTTGAATGTCCGCGTGTACGTTTTTCCAAGCGTGTGCACTTTTTCACACGTTCGATAAATATGCGAAGGTGCCAAAAAGCCGTTGTCGGTTTCGCAGTGTCGACAACCGCCACGTGGAAGACGACGTGGCACGGAAAAACCACTCGGATGAGTTGCAATTGCTCCGAGGAACCTACGAAGCTTGCGTGCGACTCGGGCCCCGCTTTATAAGTTCAAACTTCGATAGTCGGCCATCGTTGGTGACATGTGCTTGACTTGAAGAGTGATCATGCGGTTCGACCATCAAAAGTCTAAATCGTCGATTACATGTCGACCAGTGTTCATTAAAATAATCCAAACTGTACAATCGGCGCCGAATGACACACGCCCTTAGGGCGAGACAACGCATTCCTCTATAGTTCGTTCTGTGCAGTTACTCTCGTTGCGTCAGGGTGTAACACGGTGAAGCTCGATAACCGCCGTGCACTTTCTGGAACCGTCTTGCACCACGACGGATGAACCGTAAAAGAACGTGCTAACCACGCCCTTGGCAAATCATGAATTAATTTGTGGAAGTGAGGGCGCATTCTGGGCTCGTCGCAGCGTGTTACGAACAAGTTTGCCGTTGCACATATTGGTCCCCATCAGGGTTGTCGGGGTTACAAATGCACATCGATCACGCTCCGCGATCAGTCGCAGTTAGATCGTGCTGGTAACCAGCATGAAGTCTCTGCGGAGAGTCACTCTACAACGGGAGTGGACTACGGAGGAGGGCACGGGGTTGTGCGAGTGATCGTAGCGTTTGTTGACGAAAAATGGCCCCGTCCTCGCTTGGGCGAAGCCGACCTTGCAGTCGGGTGCGCGGGAGGTGCAGTCGGCTGCCCGCAGTGGACGTCGCTGGCTTGGGTGTGAGGTCGACGAAGTTGGTCGACCTGCGCTGGACCACTGCGAAGCCGCTGACGATGGGAAGTCGGTGGCCGACTTCGACTGGCGTGGTCGACGAGGAGGTCCATCGACCTGCGGGGACGCCGACTTGGTAAAAGTCCGCGGGTGGTGTCGACCTGGGCGGTCGACAAGCACGAACATCAGTTTGCGGCTCCTACCGCTCAACGGGTCGACACTGACTTCGGGTTTACCCGGTCGACCGAGTTACCTGGTCGACGAGGTTCTGCGGAGGTTCGCGAACGTCGGCGAGGTTGTTGCGGCAAAGTCGACCAACGTGGCAGCACGTGGTCGACGTGGCTCATCAGGCACAACCGGGGCACGTGGCCGACTTGGCACCTCCGCAATGTGCGTGACGGTTCACGTCGTGCTCAACCGTCTACAAGCACCTACCAAGTAGGTGTACGCATGTGCTGTCACCTGCGGTTGCAACGCTGGCAGGCCGCCCCGCAGCAGCGTTGGCAAGCCGCCTTGGTGCAGCACTGGCAGGCCATCGACTTTCTACGCTGGCAAACCGCCTTTCTACTGTGTTGGCGCAGTGTCGACTTGCAGTGCTGGCAGGTCGCCGACTTTGCTGCGCTGGCGGTTGACCTGCGTGTTTGCTAGGCTGCCTTGCATCTGATGTAGTCATTGTAGCCATTCGTATCTTTGTTCTCAACTTTTGCTGGTGAAACTCTTGCTGTTTTGCCCCGAGAACGCACAAGTGCTATAGAATACAAGCAAAGCTACGATCACTCAAACCACCCTTGTCTTCACCCGTAGTTCATCTCCCACCATTGTAGAGTGACTCTACGCAGCGTTCTACTAGCGTTCTCACTACTTGCTGTGATCACAGAGAATCTGATGGTCACTACCACGACTCCTGGAGGCGAGCTAGTGGCGATCTGTACGGACACAGAGAATGGAGACCACCTTGCCACGTTCACGCGAAGGCCTGGGTCTGGGCTGTACGCACTGCAGACTGAGTCCGCTCCGGTGGTTGCGTCAGGTCAGGTAGCGGCGCCTTGCTCGTGTCGGTTGCTCACGCACCAGTCTCTCCTCTGGCACCCCTCCCCTCCCCGCCTCCGCAGCATGCACTCGCGACGCCTTGTTTCTAGCCTCCTACAGACCCTGCCCCCGCTCCCACCGTCGCTTGCGCCGCCGTGCACTCCCTGCGTCGAGGGGCGGCAGCGCGCTGCCCCTCACTCCTCCTCGTTTCCTCCGACCACTGCTCCTCTGCAGACGCTGCACATGGACGTGTGGGGCCCCGCCCCCGTCTCTTGTACGCACCGGGAGCGCTGCTTTCTGGTGGTGGTCGACGACTTCACGTGCTACACCACGGTGTTTCCCTTGCAGCGCAAGGGCGACGTCCGTAGTGTTTTGATCCCTTCGATCCGCGCTGTTCGTCCTCAGCTGAGAGCACGTTTTCAGCAGGACCTTCCGGTGCTTCGTTTGCACTCTGACGGTGGAGGTGAGTTTTCCTCCGGTCTCCTGAAGGACTTTTGTCGTGAGGAGGGCATCACCTAGTTGTTCACGCTTCCGGCCTCTCCACAGCAAAATAAGATTGCTGAGTGCCGCATTGGCCTTCTCATGGAGGTTGCTCGCACCTCCATGATCCTTGCGACTGCTCCCCATTTTCTGTGGACGTTTGCATTCCGATACGCCGTGCATCAGCTCAACCTCTGGCCGCGTGTTCCACAACCAGAGGTCTCGCCCACCCTCCTTTGGACGGGGGAGGTAGGCGATGCGTCGCTGTTTCGGGTCTGAAGCTCGATTGCTATTGTCCGCGATCCCATCGCGGACAAGCTCTCTCTCCGCACTGTTTGTTGCGTCTTCCTTGGTTTTCCCACGCCCCTGACTGGCACTTTTACCACCCAGCCACGCGCCGTGTCCTGTCCTCTCGAGACGTCACCTTTGACGAGTCGGTCTGCTACTACCGTCTCTACCCGCAGCGTAGTTCCCCCGTGCCCTCCCCGCCCCTCTTCCTGGTACCCAGTCCACCCCAAGAAGACCCCCTCCCCCCCCCTTGGTCCTGCTCAATAAGGCCTGTCGCACGTCACCCCACTCCCCTCGGTTGTGCCTTTGGAGATCTCCTCTGACTCCTCTGGCCCAGCTGAGAGGGGTGACCCTGCTGCTGACGACACCGCGGCCTCTCGCCGCTCGCCGCGCTTGGAGACACATCCGGGTCTTTCGCCTCGGGCGTCTTCGCCTCCTCTGCAGCCTGTCGATGTGGACTCCGAGGGCCCTGGTGCTGGTGAAGTTGGTGCTGCTGGTGGTACTGGTTATGGGGGTTCTGACTCTGGGGGTGTTGGTTCTGCGGGTGCTGACTCTGGGGCTGCTGGGGCCGGGGGTGCTGACTCTAGGGGTGCTGGGGGTCCTCTTGTTGGTGGAGTCGAGGTACTGCTACTGGAGGTTCTGGGGTGCGTTGCAGCCACTACCGCGGCGGTCGTTGTTCTGGGAGCAGCAGCAGTCGTCACTGCCGCTTCTTGGTGCTGCTGCTGGAGGTTCTGTGGGTACTGTATCTGGAGGTCCTACCGCTGGGGGTGCTGGCGGTACTGGTGCTGGAGCCAAAGGTGCTGGAGCTGGAGGTGTTGGATCTGGAGGTGCTAGTTTCTGAGGTGTTGGTGATGGAGCTGGAGGTGCTAGAGCCGGAGGTACTGACTCTGCGGTTGTTGGTCGTCCTGGCGCTGGAGGTGTTCCTGGGACTGGAGATCCTAGCGTTCGTGCTGGATAAGCTGGGTCTGGGGGTGCGTCGCAGCCGCTACCGCGGCGGCCGTTCTTCTGGGAGCAGCAGCCGTCGTCGCTACCGCTACCTCGGTCGGCGCTTCACAACCTGCTCAGTCTCTAACATGTCCCTGCTGAGCCGACAGCCACGGGTACCACTCCCTCTGCTGTTTCTTCCGCCTGACCTGTCTCAGCCTGCTAGTTCTCGTTACTCTCCGTTGATCGACTCCCTGACTGAGCGTTGGGAGCCTGCGTCTCGTCCTACCTCACCTCTTACCTCACCTACCGCCTCACCTGTTGCTCGTGTTCGTCGTTCTCGCCGTGTTCGCCCTCCTCCTGTTCCAGTACATACACGATGGCGCTTCGTCCTTTTTCTTATTCGCAGCCTCTTGTCCTGCC